GTACTGTCTCTGTCTTTGGTAGATATTTTTCCAGCAGAGAGCCATGAGACTCTTGCTTATCTGCAAACACCAGGCATGCAATGCAGCACTTCATCTCCCCTGAGTTTGCAATCATATAAAGCAGGAAACATAGATATAACAGTTCTCATTAAACATACTGTGTTCATACTGTCAAGTCCCAATATATTTATAATGGCATCACCCATTTCCCCAGGCTCCAAATGTGTCATTGATTCTTACCATTATCTCTCTTTTTTTTTCCCCTCAAGTCAGAGTCTCACTCTGTTTCCAATGCTGGCATGCAGTAGCACAATCTCGACTCACTGCAGCCTTGCTCTCCCAGGCTCAAGTAGTTCTCTCACCTCAACCTCTGGAGTAGCTGGGACTATAAGCACATGCCACCACATCTGGCTAATTCTGTTTATTTTTTTTGTAGAGACAAGGTCTCACTATGTTGCCCAGGTTGGTCTCAAACTTCTGGACTCAAGTTATCCTCCCACCTCAGCTTCCCAAAGTGGGTGGGATTATAGACATGAGCCATTAATATTCTCTTATGTCTCGAGTTATTTGTTTCTAAAGTTCTATTATTTCTTTCCAATTTTGAACAGCCTTTTTATTCATAATGGCTAAGGCTATGTATTGTGAAACTAGTGTCGTGATTTGACATCTCAGTCTGCTACTCACTGCTGAAAGTTGCTTCACCCCTCTTTACCTCCATTTCCCTATCTGGGAATATTAATAGTGTAAAATACTTAAAATAGTATCCAGCATATGGTGAATACTCAGTAAATGCTAGGTTTTATTAATGTTTTTCTTTCAATTCCAATCTCTCTTTCACCTCCTTAGGTTTTATTCTTATATTTATCATTGATTCCTTCATCAATTCAATGAAAAACCAATTTGAGCTTTATATGCCAGACAAATAGATTACCCCAGTAGGCTTCTAGTCATTGTAGTCCACCTTACACAGCGTGGGTAAATAATTTTAATGTACAACTTTGACCGAGCCATTCTTGAGTTAAACAGACTAACTTTTAGTCTGTTTTATTATTGTTTTAAAGTTCTCTATTGTCAATGCATCCCCATTATTGCTCACACCTAGGACAGACTGCTCTCTCACACACCGCCTTGGGTATATCATTGACTTTTATGCTTAAGTCCAAATTCTCTTTTAAAAAATAATCCCAAGTGTTTCATCTGTCTTTTATAATAAGGATCATCTCATAATACTCTTGTAAGGATGCTCCATGCTCCAAGATGGCTGACCCTATGTGTACCATTCACTGCACCGCCTTACCAAGACCTTGCCACCAGCTGCCTGGGTTGCTTTCTTCATCTAAAAACCACCCATGCCTCCATATTTGTGCCTTCACAGTAACCCAGAGGTTATTAACTAGCCTTGGAACTGATATCATACTTATTTATTTTTTTGAGATAGAGTCTTGCTCTGTCACCCAGGCTGGAATGCAGTGGTGCAATCTCAGCTCACTGCAACCTCTGCTTCCCGGGTTCAAGCAATTCTCATACCTCAGCCTCCCAAGTAGCTGGGACTATAGGCACGCACCACCACACCCGGCTAATTTTTGTGTTTTCAGTAGAGACAGGGTTTTACTATGTTGGCCAGACTGGTCTCAAACTCCTGACCTCAAATGATCCACGTGTTTCAGCCTCCAAAAGTGCTGGGATTACAGGCATGAGCCACCGCACCTGGCATTTCACACTTATTATCTTTGTCACATAGTTAATATATATGCTTTATATTATGAATTCTTTTTCTGCATATATACTTTGTTCTTTAATTCAAATGATAAGTTGATGGAGATTACAAGTTGTGTTGTATGATGTTCATTGGCACAAACAGGAGCTTGTTCAATGATAATACAAGGGTAAATGCTTTTGAAATAGGAAAATGGGCCTCACTGCTGAATTCCTTTACAATAATTTGTGTGTTCTAGAAATGAGCTCTGATCACCACAGGGTGTCACTGATTTACAAGTCAAATTTTCCTCAGTTGGTTGAGGTGTAGATAAGAATTCTCAGAAGACATTCTTGAGAGATCACAACAAAATATATAGATAGCAATGCAGCCGTTGGGAGGTATGGAGATGCTGTAAAATCACATAGAACAAAAAGTGAAAATTTCATTTACACACTTTAAACATCCCCTGAAATCCTATTCTTCCCTCTGTTAACAATTTGTTGTATAGCCTTCCAGATCTTTCCTCTTGAGAGAGAGAGAGAGAGAGAGAGAGAGAGAACAGGCACAAGATTTTAAAAACATAAACGAGATCCTACTCTCCATGAGCATATGTGTGTATGTTTGTTCAGTATCTTTTTTGATTTGATAACATTTCATTGGCCATCTTTTTGTCTCATTACATCCAGCTTTATCTCATTCTTCTTAGCAGCTAATGCAACTATTTCTGAATATTGAAATGATCAGCAATTGATGTGTTTAATCCTTGAAATGTTTGCCTGGGTATAGTCCAAAGCTGTGATTCAGACTGGATTTCATACTGTTGCTCATTATGTGAACACTATACAGTTAATTAGCAAACACTTGGGAGAGTTGGTAGGTGGTGTGTAGTAAGTTGGAAAACAGTTTATGCAAGCCAGATTGCCACCAGAATTTAGAACAGCATAAAATTAAATGCCCTAGGTAATTTACAGGGAGAAAAGGGGAAAAGACCGAGAGAAAGAGACTGTTAGAAAGAATACCAATACATTTTTGTGTCTGCATTATTGCTTGTTTCTGATTATAAAATAATACATGCTCGTTGTGGAAGATGGGAAACAGAAAAATGTATTAAGAAGAAAGCAAACATTACCCTAATCCTACAACCCAGACTTATCCACAGTTAATATTTATTGTTGCTCATATAGCTTATTTCCTTTTTAAAAATTTTTATTATAAGATAAAACATTATGATTTTAAAGCATTTAAAACAGTGCAAAAGGGTATAAAGTAAAAATGAAAAGTCCTCTTCCCACTATCCCTGGTCCTCACTTTCCACAAAGTCATTCACTGTTAACAGTTTCTCTCATACTGTACATTTAAGTGTATTGATACTGGCTTTATTATGAGTATACAAATGTATTGCGTGTGATCTACATACCATAATGCGGTCATACTTTGTTAATTTTTTATACTACTTTTTTTTCCATTTAGCTTTCTATCTTGAGCATACATATCCTATATATAATTCAAATACAACCCAAAGATTCTGGGCATGGAGCTATTTCAAAAACTTTGGCCTGACACTGCCCCCCGTGCCATTACATGCCCTTGAGTTTCTAACCTTACACAGAAGACCTGTAGCCTTTGCTGAGGGCCCTTTCCAGTGAATCACACATTCATCCTGTGTATATATGGCTCTATTTTACTTTATTTATTTATTTATTTATTTATTTATTTATTATTGAGACGCAGTCTCACTCTCTCCCAGGCTGGAGTGCAGTGGCACGATCTCAGCTCACCGCAAGCTCTGCCTCTCGGGTTCACGCCATTCTCTGCCTTAGCCTCCTGAGTAGCTGGGACTACAGGCACCAACCACCACGCCCAGCTTATTTTTTGTATTTTTAGTAGAGGCGGGGTTTCACCGTGTTAGCCAGGATGATCTCGGTATCTTGATCTTGTGATCCGCCCGCCTTGGCCTCCCAAAGTGCTGGGATTACAGGCATGAGCCACTGCACCCAGCCATATGGCTCTATTTTAGACTGTTTGATAGGAGATATTAGAGGAACAGATATTTTAAAGTGCCAAAGACCTGAGTTTAAATCCCAGTTGCATTGGTTGCTAGCTATCTTTTAAAAAGAAAATGTTTTGAACAACTTTGTAGTATATTTTTATCCTTTAGAAATGAGAAAACAGAGACCAAGCCAGGGAGAAGTGATTATGTAAGATCACACAGCTAGTTTATAGTAGAGCTGGATCACACAAAGGCCTGTTTGAACAAGAGGCTATGTGCTTCCCACTCTAACATCTTGGCCTTTCTTTAGAACTCCTGTAGGTAACAATGTATTGTATTATTGAAAATCAGGAACACTGTTACATTGTTGGTGGGATTGTAAACTAGTTCAACCATTATGGAAAACAGTATGGCAATTCCTCACGGATCTAGAACTAGAAGTACCATATGACCCAGCCATCCCATTACTGGGGATATACCCAAAGGATTATAAATCATGCTGCTATAAAGACACATGCACACGTATGTTTATTGCAGCACTATTCACAATAGCAAAGACTTGGAATCAACCCAAATGTCCATCAGTGACAGACTGGATTAAGAAAATGTGGCACATATACACCATGGAATACTATGCAGCCATAAAAAAGGATGAGTTTGTGTCCTTTGTAGGGACATGGATGCAGCTGGAAACCATCATTCTCAGCAAACTATCGCAAGAACAGAAAACCAAACACTGCATGTTCTCACTCATAGGTGGGAACTGAACAATGAGATCACTTGGACTCGGGAAGGGGAACATCACACACCGGGGCCTATCACGGGGAGCGGGGAGGGGGGAGGGATTGCACTGGGAGTTATACCTGATGTAAATGACGAGTTGATGGGTGCTGACGAGTTGATGGGTGCAGCATGCCAACATGGCACAAGTATACATGTGTAACAAACCTGCACGTTATGCACATGTACCCTAGAACTTAAAGTATAATAATATAAAAAAAAAAAAAAATGAGAGAGTAGATTTCAAGTGTTCTTACCACAACAAAAGATAAGTATATGGGTAATATGTATGTTAATTAACTCGACTTAGCCATTCCACAGTGTATATACATCTCAAAACATCATGTTGTACATTTATACGGTGCTTCTCAATCAATTAATTAACTTAAAAGATTTACTAGCATATACCTTCAAGGTTATTGCCTAACCTTTTCACTTGACACAAGTTATGTATCTATTATCTTTCTAGTATCCAATCCCCCTCTCTCTGATTCTCTTTTTTTTTTTTTTTTGGTCACATTCCCTTTTTAGGAGAGAAGCCTTATAAATGCACCTGGGATGGCTGCTCCTGGAAATTTGCTCGCTCAGATGAGCTCACTCGCCATTTCCGCAAGCACACAGGCATCAAGCCTTTCCGGTGCACAGACTGCAACCGCAGCTTTTCTCGTTCTGACCACCTGTCCCTGCATCGCCGTCGCCATGACACCATGTGAGCTGCACAGATCACACTAGAGAAGCTGCGCTGGTATCTTTCCTGTTCGTGTGCTGAGGTTGGGACAATTTTTTCCTCTTTGACTTCAGCTTGCATCTGCAATGGGGTTGAAGCAGCCCACTGAGCCAAGTTGAGGAGACTGGAGGAAAAGAGAGCTGGTCTCCCGGGGAGAGGCTCTTCATATTCTACCTTCACTTCTCCACTGTCCAGACCCGTTTTTTTCAACCTCCATGTGGGTTGAATTCCAGTGTGGCACCCATGGCTGCCTTCCCATCCCCCCTGCTCTGAAATAGGACATTTTTCCTACAGTAACAAAACAGGAATCAAACTCAAGGCTGTGAACAAACATACGCTGCTTTTTTCTTTCCAATTTTTCTCTTGTTTTCTAGAACTCTCGTCCATATGTTTTTTAAATAAGTACCTAAAAGTGGTTTGATAGTGTCCTAAATGACTTTTTTAACTTCCTAAATGGAAAGAGCATAACAATGTAGTTGATTGGTAAGATTTACAGGGATTTGGTTTCTGAGTAAGAGGCACACTCCCAGTGAATAAGCTGAGTCCCATACCACACTCAAAAGGTTTTAATAAATCTAATCCTATTTCTTCTTAAAGTTTGGTTTGCAGATAGTGCTGGTGCTTCTGCTTCTTAAGTTCATCAAGGGAATGAGGAGTTCTTGTACTTCTCCTCTTTTTCTTCTCTTCCACTTTCTCCTTCAGGATTAAAGATTTTGCTGCACAATTATTATTTGTTAGGTTAAATTTGGGCAAATATTCAAAGCACACATGGACATATCAGTAAGGAGAAAAATGTTCCAGGAGAGTAGGTTGGGCAGAGGAACAAACAGACCTAAGATGATCCTGAGAACAAATAGAGGAGTTCATTTATTTGGATAGGATATCAAAAGTGCTGTTAATCACAAACCTCATTCAAATGGCAGGCTGTTGAGACAGTGTCTTGAGGGGCTGGCTGTACTGTTTATTTTTTTGTTTACACAAAGAAACAATTGAGTATATTGCATGATGAGAAATCACACACTAGGGGCATGTTATACGAAGTGAGGGGTTGGAAGAACGGAATGTTTTCACTCCATGGAATTATTGGCATTCATTCCTGTGTTTCAAATGAAACATAAGATGCTTTTCATGAAAACTGACATACAAAAAGCAATTTGATGTTCTGCAACTGCTATGAAGACCTAAGCCATTTGTTTTAGCTATTATAGCAGGTTGCATAATATACTCATTTGGCTGCCCAATCAGATTGTTTTATAATATTACCTGGGGCACAAAATCCTCTGTTCCTGGCCCTGGACCATAGATCTACCTCCACATGGCATATTTCCTTTCCTGGGGTCAGGGGTGGGGAAGGGGGCTTTGCATCACTTGAATTTGGACTCAGCCTCTCTTTTAAAGATTGTCTTTATATTGAACACCTTTTTCTTTTCAACCCTGCTTGAATACTTTAGGTTACTATTTCCTGAGGCTGTCCATTCTCACTAAATTGTAGAATTCTAGCACCAAGAAGGGATCCCGTTAACCATCTAGTCCTGCCCATCCCTCATATTTTACAGATGAGACAAATACGGGTCAGATTTTTTCTCTAGATGTTTCCTTGAGCCCTTATACACCTGCATGCTTATTCTCCTAGGGATCATATAATTTTATTTATTTATTTTTTGAGAGACAGTTTCACTCTGTCACCCAAGCTGGAGTGCAGTGGCATAATCTCTGCTTACTGCAACCTCCGCCTCCCATGTTCAAGTGATTCTCCTGCCTCAGCCTCCCAAATAGCTTGGATTACAGGTGCGTGCCACCACACCTGGCTAAGTTTTGTATTATTAGTAGAGATGGGGTTTCACCATGTTAGCCAGGCTAGTCTCAAACTCCTGACCTCAAGTGATCTGCCTGCCTCGGCCTCCCAAAGTGCTGGGATTACAGGAGTGAGCCACCACGCTTGGCCAGGATCACATTATTAAACCAAATTAAAGTTTATGTGATTGGTTGCAATATTTGTCTAATTTTATATGTTATTCTTCAGAAAAACTTTAGAACTCAAAAATCATTTACAGCTGATTAAATAGCAAGTAAAATGTACTTGTGGTCATTGCCGTATAACATCAGGCACATAGTTCTAACACTTCTATAATGTCTAGATTTTTTTTTTTTTTTTGAGAGGGAGTCTCGCTCTGTCTCCCAGGCTGGAGTGCAGTGGCCAGATCTCAGCTCACTGCAAGCTCCACCTCCCGGGTTTACGCCATTCTTCTGCCTCAGCCTCCCAAGTAGCTGGGACTACAGGTGCCCGCCACCTCACCTGGCTAGTTTTTTTTTGTATTTTTTAGTAGAGACGGGGTTTCACCGTGTTAGCCAGGATGGTCTCGATCTCCTGACCTCGTGATCCACCCGTCTCGGCCTCCCAAAGTGCTGGGATTACAGGCTTGAGCCACTGCGCCCGGCCTAATGTCTAGATTTTATTTACCTCATTTTAACTTGCAGTGTCTGTCTAGATCATGAACTCTCCATAAATCCAAGGACTGCCTGTAGTTTTCAAAATGACGTGTGGATTTTTACTGTTATCATTGTTATTTCGATCAAGGCTTTTTCCTGACTTTTGGTATACAAGTTCCAAACTTGCATAATAATTGCTAACACACTAGGCGATATCTGGGGCCAGTCTGTTAAAGGGGACCTCTGATGTAGCTGTAAGACAGATTGGTAAAGATGAACTAACTTAAATTTAAGCTTATAATTCAGTAGTTGATGCAGTATTTCACAGTACAGCCCAGGCTTACTCATTTTCTTCAAAATTTGGATCCTGATACTCCTTTTTCAGAGTTCAGAACTGAACTGCTCCCCACAGAACTCAGAATCTTTTGCATTGAGACATATGATCTACTCATAAATAAAGATTATCAAATATCTTGTTGAACTAATTAGGTTGATCAAATTAGGGTCCCAAATATTAGGGTCCCTGACATCTGAGCCTTTATCTAAAAATGTTTCTGTAACATAATGACAGCCTTTATGTTTGTTAATTGTCTATAGTAAAGAAGCAATTTTAACCCTATTCTCATTTCCCTCTCGCCTCCAAAAAACGATAAAAGCTTCCCAATTACTTACATATGCTCTAAGAAGTGTCTCAGGATTCATTAACAGAATCTTATAGAGTACAGGAATTCAAATATAGCACAGTACAGAGTTTACCAAAAACACATAAAACTTTGCTAGATAGACAGTGAAGTGGAAAGGAACTAAAATGTATCTCTTGAATAGCATTTGGGATTCAATTGAATTTGTTGTTTTTACAACAGCAAAGCACCTTTAGCCTGGACAGTTGCTTAGGGCATCGATATGATTGGATAATATTCTGGGATCTGTTGCAGCAGAATTCCTCTATCTGATGATCAGCAGTTGAACATAAACTTCATAATTACAGTAAAATTTAGGAAAAACTAAGAGTGTGAAGAGTGTGAACTGATTGGGTAGATTAAGCAGAGTGCATTATGGGCAAGACAAAGGTTTTCGATATTAATTTCTTTTAAAATAAACTTTTTATTTTCAAACAGTTTCAGATTTACAGAAAAATTGTGAAGCTAGAACAGAGAGGTCTCATTTACCCCACATCCAGTTTCTCCTATTATTGACATCTTACATTAGTGTGATATATTTGTTACAATTAATGAAACACAATGATATGTTAATATTATTAACTGAAGTCCATACTTTATTCAGGTTTCCTTAATTTTTACCTAATATCCTTTTTAAAGAATTGTTTCGGCCAGGCATGGTGGCTCACACCTGTAATCCCAGCACTTTGGGAGGCCGAGACAGGCGGATCACGAGGTCAGGAGTTCAAGACCAGCCTGGACAATATGGTGAAACCCTGTCTCTATTAAAAATACAAAAAATTAGCCGGGCGTGGTGGTAGGTATGTGTAATCTCAGCTACTTGGGAGGCTGAGGCAGGAGAATTGCTTGAACCTGGGAGGCGGAGGTTGCAGTGAGCCAAGATGATGCCACTGCACTCCAGCCCGGGTGACAGAGCGACACTCCATCTCAAAAAAAAAAAAAAAAAAGTTTCAGCATCTTGTTCAGGATTCCACATTACATCTGGTAATCATATCTCCTTAGGTTCCTGTAGGTTGTGACAATTTCTCAGACTTTCCTTGTTTTCAGTGACCTTGACAGTTTTGAGAGATATTTTCCTCAACTGGGATTTGTCCATTGTCTTTCTCATGATTAGACTGAGGTTATGAGTTTTTGAGAGTAGGACCACAGAGAAGAAGTGCCATTTTCATCACATCATACAGGCATACTTTGGAGACAATGCCGATTTGGTTCCAGATCACTGCAATGAAGCAAATATTACAATAAAGCAAGTCACAAATTTTTTGGTTTCCCAGTGCATATAAAATGTTATGTTTACACTATCCTGTAGTCTGGTGAATGTGCAATAATGTTATGTCTAAAAAACAATGTACATACCTTATTTTAAAATACTTTATTGGTAAAATGTTACTGGCACAAACACGAAGTGAGCACATGCTATTGGAAAAATGGTGCCAATAGACTTGTTGGTCACAGGGTTACCACAAACTTTTAATTTGTAAAAAATGCAATATCAGCAAAGTGCAATAAAGCAAAGCACAATAAAACGAGGTATGCCTGTATTTACATGACTCATCACTGTTGTTTAACCTTGATCACCTGACTGAAATAGTCATTGTCAGGTTTCTCCCCTATACTCTTTTTTCCTCCCCTCCATACTGTAGTCTCTGAAAGGAAATCACTGTGTATAGCCCATGCAGAGTGGTAAGTTATATGCCACACCCTTCAGAGCAAGTATCTTACATAAATTATTTGGAATTATTTTCTAAGGGAGATTGTCTCTTCTCCCCCATTTATTTATTTATACAATATTTATATCAGCATGGACTCATGGGTATTTATTTTATACTTTGAGTTATAATCTAATACTACTACTTTATTTCATTGCTCTAATTGTTCCAGCTTTGGCTATTGGGAGCTCTTTTGGGTGATTCTGAAGTCCTTTTGACATACCCCCATCAGTTTTGTTTTTTGTTTTTTTTTTTTTTTTGGCATATTCTTACTTTCTGCCACTGCAAGATGTTCCAGGCTCATCTTGTATATTTTGTGGCCTACTCCTATAATCAGCCATTTCTTCAAGAAGTCCTGGTTTCTTTTACTGGAAAATTGTATTAGAAACCAATATCTGGGCATTAGGTATGTTCGTTGCTCCTGGGTTATTGTTGCTTCTAGGGCATCTCAGCTAACAGAGCAAGGAAACATATGTGTATACTATCCTATGTATATGCACATTCTATAAATATTTCTATATGTAATCATCCAGATTTTTATTTAGCTAAACATGAGTTCATATTGATGTTTTCAACTCTAACGTGTTACCATGTGAATCATTCTAGCTTCTTCCTCTTAGTTAAATGAAGCCTCCCACACTAATACTGAGAAACCTGCCTCTGAACCTCTGTCATCTATTTACTTATTTTTTTAAATTCAGTGTGCATATACAGCAGTATCTGAATTGTTAACCTGTATACCCATGGGAAACAACTTTATCAACTACAGCACAGTGT